GGTTAGCGCTCCTGACTGTGGCGCTGGTCCTTGTCCTGGCGGGAGCACATCGTTGTGTTTTGGGGTGACCTGCTGGGAGACAGGAGCTGTCAGGGACTTTCTGTTTGCTACTTCTGCTCTTCCAGGGAAGAGAAATCTGGATGTACATCTTTCCCGTCTTAGCCAGATCCCACGATGGTCTTTAATCCTCGCACCAACTTCTTATACCACCCGCCAAAGCCATAGCCAAAGATACTGGGAGCAGCCAGGCAGGCTGAGCACGGCTGACTTCCCAAAGCGGAGCCATCTCGCTGCCGGAGGGATCAGAGCAACACCCCAGAGCCTCCCTCCAAGTCCAGATCCCTCTGCTCTCCCTCCTCACCCCACCTCCCCGCTCACAAGCACCCGCAGAGCAAGCCCCAACCCAGGACAAGGTGCAAGGCTCAACCCACTCCAAACCCATTCGCTTCCCGGAGAGTTTCGAGTGCTGCTCCGAGGCCCAAAGCCCTGCGGCATCGCCGCTCTTACCGAGATGCTCGTGCAGTGAAGGGGTGAGGAGGGAATGAGGCTTTCCAGGACCGGAACGCTTTTATACCCTCTCTGCACACTCCATTTGGAAACGAAGCACCTCCCTGCCGCAGAGGTCTGCCTGTTCATTTAATTCATCGATGGCTTTTATTTTTTTTTTTTTTTTTGCTTCCCCACGCTTCGGGTTCCTTCCGTGACTCACCTTATCTACGCCCAGTATCACCTCTTGTTATCGGTCATCTTTCCTGTGCCGCAGAAATATTTAATTGTCGGCTCTACCTGCACTTAGCTCCGATGGGGGAGTAGTGTGGGTGGCCCCAGTTTCCGCAGCTTTCCCAGTTTGTTTTTGGCGTTCATCGCAGTTGGGGAGCGCTTTGCGTTTAAGGGGGGGAATGATGTCATATACCTAAATTGCACCATCCTTTTAAACTGTCTTGACAGGTTCTAGTCCTGCAAATGCCCCTAAACCCACCCTTATAGGTGCCTATAAGTACCAACACCACCTTTGGCATGGTAGACAACTCTTCCTTAGCAGCAATTTGAGTGGTATCACTGTTGGCTTGTTTCTCTTAAAACCAGCTGAAATATAGCGGAGCGGTGAAGAAAGAGAAAAGACAACCCCCCTAAAACTTTTTTGTTGGCCAAAAAGTTTCCCGCTGTTGCGAGAAGGACCAAAATTAGTTGAGATTCTTGTTTTTGGAAGGGGGAAGACCTGCCGTGAGCAGCGATCCAGGATTAGCGAGGTTCATAATTATGTGGTTAACTTTCAGCTCGTGAGTAACGCCAGAATGGCGTTGCAGGTGTTTTTTTCCCAGGTTGTGAGCGGCTTCGGTGCTTCCAGGTGGAGAAGGGCACCCATGGGTCCTGCCTTCGGTGACTCAGGGTGGCCAGGGGCGGCTGCCGCGTTGCGGGGAGCTGGTAGACCCCAGGGACTTTCTCCAGACTTGTAGGAACATCGGTTTTGGAGCATTTTTCCTCTCTCCCCAATTAGTTCGTAATTGGCCAACAAATCTGAGTGTTATTTATACGGATTCGCAGACCCGCATGAGCCTTCAGGCCAGGTACTGTGTTTGCAGTGAGAGCTAATGACAAGCAATAATTTGAGATACTCCTGGTTCCTTTCCTGTACCTCTCCTGTGAGGGCCAGGAAGGGCTTAGGACCACAGATCTTCTTTTGCCCTCTTCTGCCAATACTTGTGGAGGACATTTCAGTAGTTAAACAGACAGCAAATAAAAGACTAAAACCAGTATGGCTAGCTGAAATAGGGGGTTGATATGATTTTGTTGCAAAAGTGGTTGGAAAACACCGGCTGAAAAATATTCCGCTTGCCCCCAAAGGTGCTGGAGCATTTGGAATTTTTGGTCCACCTCTCTCACCTTTTATTTTTCTTTCTCCACGTTGATGATGTTTTTATGCTATTCTCGGCTGCTAACCACAGCGAGATGGAGGCTTAACCCCATCCCACCCTTGGAAACGCTGTTTGAAAGACCCGACATCCTTCGGGAAGCGGCTGGAAAACTGAAACACGGTGCCAGACACCAGTGCTGCAAGTCCTGAGTGGTTCCCACAACCCAAAAAACATCTGACATGCTTGCTGTTACCTAAACATGGAGGATTTTCGGAAAGTTGAGCGGACAGGGCAGGGTTAATGAATCAGGTATGCAACCTAAATGCTTCTTTTGTATTGCTTAATTGCTATGATGAAGTAGAACAGTGTCAGGGCAAACTGCACCCAGGTTTGATCACTCGTTTTTAATTGTGTTTTGTTCTGGCATCGGAAGAAATATGGTAAATACTGTCGTTGGAAAAAGACTCAAAGTAATTTTTGGCCCTCCACGTTGAGCTGTGTTCAGTTCCTCGTGTTTTAATTATTCTGAGTTTGTTAAAGGTCAGCAGCACCCAGCCAGCAATCCTGGACACCTCGAGATTTTGTGGCTGTCCACCTTAACGTGCCTTGAAGATGGGGTTTGCAATGGGGGCTTAAGGCGAACGCCAGACTCAAAGATACAACCAGCCTTTCCAAAGGATTCCTATGCGGAAAACAGGGAGCCTGTTCCAGGAGTTAGTTGCTGCCTGCGCCCTTTTCAGCCATGCCAGATATTTCTGCTCATCGTGACACACTCGAGAATAATCTTATGAAAGCAACATCCATTTCATGAATGGCGATATGAGTCCAATAAATTACACAATTCGCTTTAATTACAAGCTGAGAAGAAATTTATTGGTTCGTTGTGTAACGCTAGCATCTTGCAACGCCCCTGGCTCGACCCAGGGCTCTTGAAATTCTGGGCAGAGGCTTGCTAGAAAGGCTTTCTGGGGGGCTTGTTGCAAGCACACGGAAATACCTGCCCCAAGGGTGGTCCCTGGGGGCCAGATGGCAAAACCCAAGGTTTCTGCCCCATCACGGGTGTCTTTGCCTATAGGGCTTTTTCTGCCCCATGGTTGTGCCAATAGCCAGCCCCAAGGGCTTGTGCAGTGCAGTCCATGGGGTCTTGGTGGAGAGTTTTGGGCCTCCAGCTCTACAGGAAGGTGATGTGGAGGAGAGCACTGCAGAGACCTGAGATGGCCTCCTAAAACATGGGCATTTAAAAATCTTTATTGTTTTCCTTTGGAGACCATATGGGAGAGTGTGGCAGTGTCTGTGTCAGGGCAGGGTAACTTCAAGGGGTATTAAACAAGAACAAGGTGTCTTGTGATATGAAATACTGCGTGAAAGAAAAATCACGAACACGAAACTCTCGTGAACTCCGAATTGCAATGGCTCATATATAGTCACAGACTGAGACAGAAAACTGCACCGGCGTGAACATACACGGTTTATTTTAGCACCCACAGATAAGCTCATTAGAGGTACAGGACTCACCAGGGGAGGGAGAGGAGACATGTTCTTTGAAGATTGCTAAGGGTCATGCAAAGCTTTCTGAACTCAGCGCAAGATCAAGGACAGGCATGTGGGTAACATGCAGATAATGTCCTGATCACTTCATCTTTGAGGATACTTGATAAATCTGCTGCTGGCAATCCTGTGGCTTTCCATGGCAAGATCCCCCACTGCTCCCATGGCATCCAGATCCCCCACTGCTCCCGTGGCATCCAGATCCACCACTGCTCCCATGGCATCCAGATCCACCACTGCTCCCGTGGCATCCGAATCCTCTGCTCCCGTGACAACCGGATCCACTGCTGCTCCTGTGGCATCCAGATCCCCCACTGCTCCTGTGGCATCCAGATCCCCCACTGCTCCTGTGGCATCCGGATCCACCACTGCTCCTGTGGCATCCGGATCCACTGCTGCTCCTGTGGCACCCTTCACTGTCGTGGCATGAGGATTGTTCTTGCCGGTGGCACTGGTCTTTGTCTTGGCGGGAGCACATCTTTGCAGACCTGCTGGAAAGACTATCATCTCTGAGCGGGTGCAAAGGCACAAGATGCTGTGATGCCTATCAGTAACAGATGTCTTGTTAGATGGGATTTATATCAAGAATAAATTCTCATTATAAGCCAGGTTCTTGAAGAAGAGAGAAAGATTATCAGTGCATGTCTGCCCATAGTGGTCCCTGACTTGTACAGAGGACTCCGCGCTATCTTCCTTTGTGCAGGTCTTTCCTTTCTCTCCTATGTTTAGCAAACATATGATAGAATCTAAAGCACTTAGTGATCAGTGAGAAGTTGGTAGCCAGACAGAGTTTAGAACTAGACCTGTGAAGTCCTGTCCTCAGCCATCTGAGCCAGTAAGTTTTAAGTTTTCCTAATTGCTTTCTAGTATTTAGATATAGGCATGGATGGAGAAGACAACCTAGGCAGAAGGACTGAGCAACTGCGACCGGAGAGAGTCACAGAGATGAGACGTGTAAACGAAGTGGTCAAGACCTCAGGATCAGGACAGAGCTGGTGATCATTAAAAGTGCAAAAGCTCGATCAAGCTGGACTTACCCCCTTCAGCAAGAGTTCGAGTGGAGACGTGAAGCTGAGGCAGTGAGGAGAGATGAGGTGCGAGATCTTTTATAGGGCACCCAGCGTTTTTCCTCCGGAAACAAGACGAGCTCCCACTGGAGGGACTTGATTGTTCACCACCCCGAGCGCTTTGCTGATTGGAGAGTTTTTACTCTGCTGTTTTGACTCACGTTATTACGAGCAGATCAATATCCCATCTTTGGGATCGCCATTCCTCTCGTTACTCCAGAAAAATGTTAATTGCCCACCACACCTGGTGTGGTTCACGTGCGGGATGCGGAGGCTTCTGGATGGTCTTCCTGCCTTTGCCTAAAGCATTTACCTGCTTCTTGTGCCGAACGCAAAGCAGCTGTGAGGCCGAGTCGGCAATGCAAATATGTTAGCGGATGGGAAGGTGGGACAGTGGGGTGGGCTGGTGGACCAGGTTGCGAAGGGATCCAGAAGGAAAAAGGAGCTTTAAAGAGGTCAAATAAGGCCATGCTAGTGTGTAGGAAAATGAGTTCATTTGTGTAGCTTGGGAAAAAATCTAGGTTGTGAGTGGGCGAAGGAGGCAAAGAGAATTAAGGATGCAGGTATGAGCACATGACGGGGCGGCAGAAGGCGAGTACAGAGCTGGAGGCTGGTCTATGTGGGGGGTGCCCTCAAAACAAGGAGCGTGAGCATCCTCCGCAGAGCCCTGGGGACCAGCACTGGCCTCCCGCCTCCGCCGGGGTGATGGGGCTTGGCCCTGGTGGGTTACAAAAGGAGTCGAGTCGCCTCTGGGCTCTAAAGCTGTCACTGAGATTTGGGATGTAGGGGTGGGAGATGGCGATACGAGACTTTGCAGCAAACTCATGCTGGATGTGTCTGGTTGGAACGACGGGAGCGGGCAAACGCACATGATGGGACGTGGGTGGGGAGTACCATCAAAGAGAAATTTATTTCTGAGTAAAAGAGCAAAGACGCACTAAAAGGTGTTGCAATATTTCAAGTCAGTCCTTTCTTTGCTGAAGGAGAGACTTTTAACCCAAACAGAAGGAATTTAATACCCCGTAGACAACAGAGAGCACCCGGAAGGCTCAGAAGGACAAAAGGTCTCCAACAGTGTCCCATCCCCATGATGCTTGTTCTCAATATTGGTTCCCTTTATTACATTTTGATCGGGGAAAAAGGAAGGGAGGAAAGCGTTGTGACTCTTTTAAGTTCTTTGCTCCCTCTGTGACCCTGTCCTCACGTGTACATCGGGGAGGGCATCGTGATCCGCATCTCTCTTGATTTAACGCTCTGCTTTGGGGAGAAAAGGGTCTTTCTGCCTACCGAGTGCACCAGGCCTGATCTCATCGAGGACTCTAGAGGCCACTGTAATATTAATAATAGCAAAGATTGAATTAAAATAAAATAGAGTCAAGGAGATTCATTGTTAACCAATGGAGCTGAGTCACTTGAACGAATTGATATATGAGGAAATCGGAACGTGTCTGGGGGTATTTCACAAACATCAGAAGAACGAGAATTCTTGTGAAACTACTATTCACGATTCGCTAATTACACCCCAGATCACGTGAGCGGTGACAAACATGTTTGTAATTTCTCTCCGTGATAGAGACATCACCCGACCATGGCCTGGTGCGGAGGATGCTCATGCGCATTGAAGACGTGGACCTGTGTTCAAGACAGGACCGTGCTGACCCTACAGCTGGTCTCTGAGCCCCAGATATCTCCTGCAAAGCTCCTAGTCTTTGCGAGAGGCTTCCCTGCAACCCTTGATCCTTCTCTGCGTGGGTGGTAGTTTTTTTTCTTTGGGTAATTTGTTGTTTTATGGAAGGAATTGGCCTAATACAAGTCTCAGGAGCTGGCTTGTTCCCTAGTTTGGATCATGGTCTCAGGGTGGCTTATATGTGGTCATGATTCTTCCATATGTCACTTACGGATTTTCTATTTATGAAGGAGATAAATGAAGCACAGAAAAAAACCAAGATCTTAGAAGGATCTGGAGGACATCCTAGGTACAAGTTCAAACCTTCAAATCCCTTTAAACACAAAGAAGATCGCTCTTTTGTTTCAAAGAGGGATTGCTCATGTGAAATCCCTCTCATTAGAAGTCAGAGAAATCTACCTCAAAATAGCTCAAGCAGAGCAAATCCAATCCTGGGGGGTGGGAAGCAGGAGTTGCCCTCCTGAGGTCTCCTCCAGCCCTCTCTTCCACAGCCCAGCAAGTTCCAGAGGGGATTTGAAAGTGGCTTTGGCACAGCCCCATCCTTTGCTGCGATAGGAGCAAAAGGTCTTTGCCTTTTGCTGGCACCTTCCTTTCCAAAAAGGTCCCCAAGACTCGCGTGCACTGGGGTAGGTGAGCCATTGCAGCCCACTGCGCAGCCCGTGCGGTGGGTAATTGGGCTGCCCCATGGCTGGACCACCCCACCGAGCTGTGCTTGGGATGGGGACTGTGTGCTTTGCAACGTATGTTGGCATCAACCTTTGCACATGAGTGAGGAAGAGGTTGGCAAGGAAGGATTGCTGCAGTGTCAGGGCAGAGCATGGTGGAAGCCCCTATGTGTCCACCTATAAAACGTCCAGCCCAGGAAGGGGCACTCTGCACCTGTTTTTACTTCTTTTACGTATTCAGATGGTGCTGCAGGAGAAATCTCCACCATTAATGTTGCGAAGCAGCTGGTTCTGTGATGCGTCACATCCTGCAGGCAGGACACCGGGAGATGGAGATGATGGAGGCTCTTGCCTAGGCTGGGTGAGGTGTTAGGAGACACCTGGGACACGATGCTGTGAGTCACTGACTCCAGATCCCTGCTTTGCTGCAACAATCCTCCCAGGTGATTCCTCTTCTAACTGTACAAAGATTCCTCTTCCAACCTTAAATCTTATAAGGACTTCGGGGCTTTTTGCTCCATTAGAGAGAGCGGGTACAGCCAAGCGCACCTCTGATGTCTACAAACCTGTTTCGAATTTCCATTTGACACGTATTCCTGGCCAGATGATCCCTGTTTCTCCCTGGGTCAAAATCTTCAGCTCTGAGAGGTCTCAACCCTCCCTGGTCTTTCCCAACATTTCTCAACCGTCAGAGAGGTATCAAGCACCTACTGCCGAAGATCCATGGGTCCTGCAGGAGCTGCTTCCCTTGGAGTGAGACAAGATCTGTCATGCTTGGCGTACTTGACAGTCTAATGGACCATGGACCAGGTCATTTCTCTTCCACCAGCTTTGGCATGCTCTCTTGCTCTGCGCTGCCTGTGCCATTCCCATTCCTGAATCCTCTTCCCAACTTTTTTCCCAGGGCTTATTTTGGGGGCTTCTGATACAAATCAAACGGCACCCATTGCCTCATTTTTACCTCTCTGATGAAACGTGTGGGCTTTTTTTTGCCACACATTTAGTATTTAATATGCTGGGTTGCATAAAGAGTCCGTGATGAAAACTGTTAGTTCCTTCTCAACGAGGAAGTTGTCTGGAGTAGGAGTACAAAGATACCAGGTTGAATCAACCAGGAACCTCGATGTGAGGGTGAACGGGGATGCTGCAATCACCAGCTTTGGCCACAAGAAGGAACAGAAGCAGTTCAAGGGGACGAAGTGGAAAACACTGATGCAAGGGGTTATGAAGCATATATTTTTATTGCCTCCACATCTGCTGTGAAATAAGGAGGTGAACAGCACTCAATAATTCACAGAGACTGTGGGTTACACCTTCAAAACACATTACAAGCAAAATGACAGGAAGAGTGTAGATCCATGAGCAAGATTGGACATGCTGATCATCAAGGCAACATCGTAAGAGTGAGATGTTTCTCTCATTCCTTCCCACTCCTCATGTCTTCTACTTTATCTTCCGGGCTGGCACTTTGCAGACCTGCTTTTGCTGCTGGCTTGGGTTGCACTTTGCCACGGGCGCACAGCTTTGCTGCACCGGAGGGGGACAGGTCTGCACTGGGCAGCACTGCGAGACGCGCTGCACTGGTTTGCTATAGCATGGCTTCCCTCCCTGGTACCCAGATCCGTGGCACGTCTCAGAACAGACCGACCTCCCGTAGCTGTTGCATCCCCCTGATGACCCATTGCTGTATGTTGGTCTTCTGACACAGCTTGATCCACCTCCGTGGCATGAACCTGAGGACCCCTGGCATCTCTCGGAGCAGACGGACCTCCCATAGCTTTGGCATCCCCCCGATGAGCCGTAGCTGTACGTGGGCCTCCTGACACAGCTCGATCCACCTCCGTGGCATGAACCTGAGGACCCCTGGCATCTCTCAGAGCAGACGGACCTCCCGTAGCTTTGACATCCCCCCGATGAGCCGTAGCTGTACGTGGGCCTCCTGACACAGCTTGAGCCCCCGCCTCCCTGGCACGAATCAGCCGCAGCATAGCCGTGGCATCTCTCGGAGCAGACTGGCTGGCGCGAAGCCACAATGGGGGGGCGGTAGTTGTGCCCTCTCATGCCTTCAACGCCTTCACCCTCACATCCTGAGCAGCAGGTGTCGTAGCCGTAGCGGAAGGGTGTGCGTCGAGTGTCCAGCCAGGAGCCCGAGGGATCATACCAGGTTGAGTTCAAGTTGAAGTATGATTCTCTTCCAGAAGAGTAGATCATGTTTAAATTTTAGTGAAGAACCTGAAAAATACACGGCCAGGTAGGTTTGCATTTCCATCTCCTCTATTTTCATTTAATTTCCCGTAAAGCTGCATTAATGTGACATTCATAGGTCAACCTCACTTATCCTGAAAGCCTGGATCCAAAGGAAATTCTTGCAGTTTCCCAACACCGGTCATGTTATATCCAAACCCACTTTCTGACCTTACCCTTGATATTTTTCCCCTCCAAGAACAGAAACAACCGTAAGGGACTGCAGCACGTAGTGGTATTGCTGTAAATCCCATACCCAAGTCCCCCAACAGCTTCTTTCTTGGCTTAGCCCACCATCCTCTGGCTCTTGTGTGTAAAGTACGGTCTGAAGTGCAAGTGTGTCAGGTCCATGACCTCCTGAAGCCAGATACCCATCCAAAAATGAACCCGGCTGCTCCAGGATGTGTCTTACCCAACTCACGAAGGAGGACAGATGCTGACCAGGAGAGCAGATTGTGAGAGGCAGAGGGACGGAGGCCTTTTATATGGTTACAAGTCTTCCCCTTGTAAATGAAACACGCTGCAGGAACGAGGACTAAATTATTTATTGAGAAAACATCTCCTCCATTTGGATGCTGTTCCCAGTGCTTGGCATGTTCTGCTTGACTCATGATTCCTGATAAGCATCTATTAATTATAATGTACTTACCGAGTGGTGCACGTAAAGGACTCGCATCGAGTAAGCCACACATCGGCTAAGTGAGCTGGGTAATAACGTACTTATTCACCATCTTCAGAAGACCAAGACACTGACTGGAAGCTAACAGGTGTCCTATGAGTCAGGAGCCATGATGTGCACAGTGTTAATGTCCAGACCTTTCCCTTCTGCTACCCGTGAGGGTCATTTCCAGGTGCAGCCAGCCTGCAGCACAAACAGGTGATCGGGAAGAGCCAGCTCAGAGTCACCAAAAGCAGATGGTGATGATGGGTTTTGATGATGCAGAGGCTGGCTCCGTGGATGGTGGAGTGTGATGGATGGTGGTACCTCAACTTTTGCAAGGCTTTTGGCACAGTCTCCCACGGCAGCCTTGTGGTTAAACTGGTGGAGGTGTGGATTGGATGGATAAACTACATGGTGGGTGAAAAACTGGCTGATGTTGGTGCTGGTGCTGTTTAACATCTTTCTTAATGCCCTGGATAACAGAGTGGACTTGGCAAATCTTCTGGTGGTACCAAATTGGGGTGAGCGGCTGGAGAATAGGACCTGAGCAGGCTGGAGAAATGGTCCTGTGGCTGGGATGGACTAAGTGGGACAGGAAGGATGCGGTGGCTGAGGAAAAGCATCTTGGAAGGAAAGATGGACCAAAGCTGGCCTGGAAGCGCTGGCGTGAGGGCTAAGCTGTGGTCTGTGGGCTCTGAGTCACTGGTGCCTGGGAACTGGCTTCAGTGAGAAGAGGCTGGGAAATAAATGGTTAATAAAGAATTTTTGAAGCTAAAGTTCATACATAAGTGGTTTTTCGTTTGGTTGAAATTAGACATGAGAAAAATAAATTGTGGTTTCCTCTGTTAAGAAAACAAGAATTAAGTTTTTTCTCTCTCTGGTTTTCTGTGGCAGTTGCTGGTGGCTGTGAGGACACACCGGGGTTATGCTTAGGCCATAAAAAGAAACAATAATATATATTTTAAAGCACTTAATGCAAGGCTTTTCTGGAAAAGTGAGAGAGAAACAGCACTTTACCAGTGTGCCTGCAAGAGCCTGGCAGTGGGGAGCTGTGGGGGAAGAGCTGTATGGAGTGAAAAGGCAACTGCCATCCACAGACACACCTCACGTGCCGGGACACGCGCTTATTATCATGATTAACATTTCTATGATGGATGGCCTCCCGCTGCAGTGTTACTCTCTGGCTAACGAAGGTGATGGCGAGTGCTATGGAGCCAACTGTTTGTACCTAGAACACTTGCTGATGGACCGCAGTGAAGTCCATCCGTTGGTCCCGCGGTGGGTAACCACAGTGGAGAGGACTTTACAGCAGACGGAGTTCAGCCTGGTGAAACCGCTACAGCCAGAGCTGAAATCCTCATGTGTGAACTCTAATTCTAATTCTAAATGTCCAAGTTTCCTTGTGAGAATTTTAATTACTTTGGACATCTTCTCATTGTAATGTAGGCAATATTTTTGGGGGTAAAAAAAAAAAGGAACCAAGTGCCAACTAAATTTTTTCAACTTTATTCTTGAATACACAGGGAGGAAATAAAATTGGAGGAGTCCTTGATGCTTCTGCAGTCACAGTGTGTACTTTTTATCTGGTACAGTCCTGTTTCTGTTTTCAAAAAACCTTGAAATCACAGTCCTCTGAACCCATGGGAGAAGGTGGATCCAAGGCAGGCTGTTTCCCCATCCTTGCTCAGGTTCTTTCCGTTCGATTTCTCCATCCACAGGCCCCTCACTTTCTTGGAAAAGGGAAGAAATAGCTGCTCTACCTTGAGGAGGAGCAAAATGGGGTTTGGATGATTAAAGTCTATTCACTGGCTCGAAAGTCCCTGGGAATTCAAAGTGTCAGTGCTGGGGTCAAGCAGGAGGCTGCAGACCCTGAATCCGAAAAGCAGCAATGAGCTGACAGCCATGGCGGCATTGCATCGTGCCGAAAGCAGAGGTGGGAGCCACGGCGGTGCGGGCGAGGAGCGAAGCGTCTCCCACGCTGAGCGGCGTGAGGGCACACACCGGGGAGGGATCTCAGCACCTTGCTGGCCCCGTGCTCATTTCTTCTGCAGACAGGGTGGCAAGAGAGGGACCTGCTTTTGCTGGTGCTGGCCGGGATGCGGTGGCTGGGACACAGCGGCCGGGCAGCAGTGCTGGATGGGCGGGCGGCAGCACGGGATGCAGGAGCAGCGATGCTGGCGGGGAAGGGGATGCAGTATCACGGGGGGACGGGCATCCTCCACAGGACACTGGTCCACTCGCCGCCGGGGCTTGCTGCAGCAAGCTGGCTCCTCGCAGCGCAGGGGTGGGCGGTACTGCTGCAGTGGCCGGCGATGGATTTTCACGGGTGGGGGGCAGATGGGCTGCACGTGGCTCACCTCCACCCGCCGCCGGGGCTTGCCCGAA